ACATGGATTATCCTAGCCCTCCATCCAGATTCAAATAATTCATGAAAACTAACAAACGAGGATTGATTGCATAATACATCCGTTATAATTTACACTGACTGTGAGAAATAGATGTCATGTATTTCAAAATGCTATTTATCAAACGATTACATGTTTCCATGTAATATTTTGCAATTGTCTTTCATCGTAAAACGAGTCGTATTTTGTTAACGTCAAATGCAAAGATAGACAGTACACGCCGACAGAATTAACAATAAAGCAAAAGCATTTACATAATATTTTAACGTGCATTTATAAACTTGGACAAGCAATCAGATTCATCATGAAATCGCATTTATGAAGCTTCAGTAAAATCAGAATGGAATATATACAGTTTTATATACCAGAAATTTGTTCCTGAATCGTGTAAATTTTTTTGAAGTTATGTAAGACTCTTGTAAAATATATGTATGGTATAGTTTCCAATTACATATCTATTATTTTTATAATACGAACTAATTAAAGGTATTGGAGATGAGTATTTGTTATATCATAAAATATTGAACTAGTTTGTATTGATATTTTGCCTTGAGGCAAGTTACATGAGCTTCATATGTGTAATTAATCGACTTAATCAATAGAAAATAAATTAATTTATGAGTGATTATTACACATAATTGAAAACGAACGAACGTGCTAACTCTGAGTATTTTCTAAAAGCAAATTTTCAAAAATCAATAATTTTTATTATTGAACCAGTTTCCGTAGGACTTTAATGGTTTAGTATGTTCATTAGGACCAAGTACTCTATCGTTATACCAAGTAAATCGTCTAATTTTAATTTTAACAAACGTTAAAAAACTAGTCATTTTCTCAAACTTTGATGAATTTTTAAAATTAAACTACTTGTCGCAAGGCCGTAATATTTTAGTAAGCTCTATAAGACCATGATATGTATCACCAAAAAAATTCCATAAAAATCAACTTTTTTTTCAACAGTTAATCACAAGAAAACGGCTCGGTAGATTTTCACCTAAAACTAATCAGTATCATTCCCAACTAATATCTTTCAAACAGTTTTATTTTATTAAAATCGATTCCGTAGTATATGCTTAAATACGGACGAAAAGTATAACACTTTTCTCCAAATTACAAAGAAACAGCTCGGCCGATCGTCGCTCAAAACTGAGAAATCCTCATCGAGATACATCACATGGCTTTTAAATTTCTGTCAAAAAACGATACCAATTTTTGCAAAATTTGACGAATTTTTAAAGATAAACGACAAGTAGGGCCGTAATATTTTAGTATGATCTAGAAGACTATGGTATCTACCGTCAAAATATTAATAATAAAAATCGTCGAAAAACAAATTTAACACTTTATTACAAGAAAACGGCCCAGCCGATCTCTACCAAAAACTAATCAGCACGATTCCCAACCAATATCTTTCGAACGGTTTTTGAATTTTCAGAATCGATTCAGAATTGCGGGCTAAAACGTAAATATAAAATTAGCGAATTGGATTTTTTGATGAAAACATAAACTTCTCCTTCGGGAAATTAAAAATTAGACATAAGCGCATTAAATTAACATAAATTTTACACAAACATCGATTTTTTCTGAGGTATGCCAAAATGTTCAGAAACCTCTGAAACGTGAAGATTTTCATTCTTGATTTTCGGCCCAATACTATAACTTACCCTACAAGTAGTTGGTAAATTAATTAAACTATTAACAATTAAAAATCAGCAAAATTCTTACAATTAGTCTACAGATTTCATCCTCCTATTTCTTACTTGGCTTGTACCTACCAACTTCGCCCGGCGGCGCACTGCAGGCGTTTCGTATTTACGATAATGGTAAAGGTTATTGCGCGGATGAAACCATTCCGAGGCGATTAAATTGAGATTACTCGAGAGTGGATTTGCATGAAATATGCTGAAAACAGCAACCGCATCATCTACTATCGAAGGCAAATTAAATGTAAATACGAGCAAATCCGATATAAATAAATACGATGATATGCAATTCATCCAGAGGCATACAATTGTAGCGGGTAAATAACGTAATAAAATAGAAAAGTAGTAGAAGATTGAATCTAGATGCTGGATATTATGTGAGAAATGGATAAAGGGATAAATTGGAAATTCGCTATGGTCTGGAACTTAATTTGTAAAAAAAGAAGTAGTGTACTTGAAGGAATAAAATTTTAAGTTGTCAAATAAGAGATCACTACGTCTGACAAGGAGAACCTAAGGTGTACTTTTCTGGGATTTTAATGAAATTTTGGAGGTTGATAGAGTTGATGGTCAAACCAAACACTTTAATATATTATGTGCTTATGAGGAGTGACTAAATTTTAAAAATTAATTAAAGTTTTAAAAAATATCCATATCAATATGTCTTGATAGCTCAATAAGTTTAAGCGCTTGCTTCTACTTTTTGCGTTTGTATTCATAGATAAGAGAGTTAAAAATGATCAGGTCCAAATCCCGTCAGCGATTTTTTTTTTATTTATGAATTTATTTTTGAATAGTTGAAAATTGCAAAAGTATCCATATGTAATAACTCATAAATATATACAAATCTCTATTTTATTCTAATTTAACTGAATAATATTCAGGAAGATGTGTTCTATAAGCTGTTTTTATCCACCGGTTAATAATTACTCCGACTTTCTCTAACTCGATTTGAAGTCCATAAATGTGGTACCTGTTTTGTCATAATAAATAGTTACTATAACTCTTATGCCATAAATATGGAAAAACATCAAATGTGCAACGTGCAACTTTAATATTGCGGCTAAAAGAGTCACGTTTACAACTGTGCATGGATGAATGATGATACATGCATTTAGCCCAGAATCTATTCATCACGCTTTCCATATATATTTTCTACCCGACCGATATACACGAGCTAGATGTGCTCAAATTATATGTAATATACACTCTATTAATGTAATTGAATAATGCATTTGAGGAAAAAACAGTTATTTAACATGTATTCCGTTGTTTATTCAGTTGCTACAACACTACTTCTATTTTTAATTATTCTGTTTATGAATACTATGTTTATATTATTCTGTATTATAATAATATCTTCCAAATTATGCATATATTATGTTTAAAATCGAACGATTTTAACAATTGTTGATACCAATATGATTAGGGTAATGGGAAGAACGTGGATTTGCAATCAGTTCCGCGTTTGATATGAATCTTGACCAGCTTGATATCAAGTAGAAGTGTGATAAGATTTTTTATCTGACACTATAGAGTGAAAATAGCCTTGTCTGGGCATAGCGATATATCTTACATATAAAAATGGAGCTCTCTTTCAAATGTCCAAGTAAAACTGGAAAACGGCTGAATCGATTTGGCCAGTCTTAGTCTTGAGAAAATCGTGCCAATCCAGAGAAAGTCCAAAAAGTGAGAAATTATTTCAAATCCGCGTAGAAACTTTTTATTTTTAATTTGAAAATTTTTGTAGAAGCGTAATCTAAATAAAACAATGGACGGTTGCTAATCCGTGAAATGTCAAACGTTTTTGACAGATGATGTTCAATTACGTTCAATAGGACATTTTACGTGAATATTATTTAATTATGATTAAATTGTAGTAAGTAGCTTTGTTTGTAGTTTTATTTATACATAAAAACGTTAGTAAACTGGCCGCAAGTGTTACTAGAAACTCAAAATATCAACTCTTTTGAAATGTTAATATGAAAATGCACTTTTTGGCATATTTTTCTTAAACACGGTGCTCTGAAAGATCTCATTTGTATAATGATATACTCATTGGTATTTATAAAACATTTTCTAGGTTATATTATTTTTTATTTATGTTATTTAAATTCAAAACCGAAATTTGGTATCGATTAAATGGACACTTTGTCGAATAACATTTTCCCAGTTATAATTTTCCAGAATTTATCGAAGAATAGATAGTGATATATGAAGGTCCGGGGTTAAAAAGGTCCACCACCGATGTGTCAAAAATCAGTAAAGTCAAGCATTGTTTAACAACAATATTTGAAAGTACAGGAAAAAATATGTATAACCAGCTATAACCTTGATTTGAAAACGGTAATCTTTGAAATGAGGGAGATAAACGGTTCTCTTTGAAAATCCATAATAAAAGTATTTTCTTCCGTTGGTAGTTTTTTAGCATTAGTTAAAAATGTAATTATTTTGTAAAATACATAAAATTATAATAAGTGTTTAAACCTTTTTGCCACCTGCCGGTTTCAAGTTACCCCGCCTAAAGGGTAAAAAGGTCTAAACAACAAATTTTTGAAAGACATAAAAAATCACATTGCTACAATGACGAAGTAGAAGGCAGTTTACTGAACGTAGTCAGATAATTGTTCGTTTGATATGCGTTATTTGTTGTGATATAATTGTTATGGTTTTCACAATATAGTTTATATTTGCTCAAAGTCAAATTGGACCTTTGTGCCTCGCCCTGCTCTACATATATATTTTTTATTAAATTTACTCTAATTCATCGAATGTTACTTGAAACTTTTCAAAAAGCAGGTCAAAGAAGAAATACTTAATTCATTTTCTATCTCTCCTCGCAGAAATTTGAATAATTTGTATAAGCTCAGTAGTATTATTTACAATTATACACAAAATCTAGAATCCAAAAAGAATCTGAAAAACTTGAAACGTAACCAATAAGTCGAAAGACCAAAAAAGACTTGGATGGATTATGTTTTCTATAGAAAGTGTATAAATCTTCCAGTTTGATTGTATTGACAAAATATAGACAAACTAATGGGGTTTATTATTTTTATAATACATCATTGTGTTATATTGCATTAAATTAACTCATCCTTATACACTTAGAGTATTAATATTTTTGATTCTCTAGAAATTCTTTAGAATATACCTTACTTAGCAAAACAACGTTTGCCGGGTCAGCTAGTATATATATACATATATATATATATATATATATATATATATATATATATATATATATCAAAATTCCCATTATTAATTTTTCTGACTCACCATATCGCAGACCATCGGCGAGGGCAATTGTCTGACAGTGCCGCGTCCTAAGGCTTCCCGTTTTCTCTGGGCGGAAAATAGGCGAAGTTCCTTTCGCTCTTCGTCGGTCAGCGCGTGGCAGTAACGCACCTCGTTGTCGTGCGGCGGCAGCTGCCGCAGCAACTGTCGCACTCGGTATCTTTCACCTGCACTGTTCACGTATGGGACTTTGTCTTCTGGCAGAGCAGAAAAATATAGATGAACCTGGGGAAGAAGAAATAATGTGATAAGAAAATGGACACAATAATTCATTATTATTCATTCATTAATCCTCCGATATATATATTTAATTTTTTGTTTTGTTTGTTCATATTTTAGCTTAAATACGCGTTACCCATGTTCAAAGTCACTCAGAAGTTGAGTGGTAATGTTCATGATTATTTAACGTACAATAAAGCGTTTAGAGGTAAAATTTCTTTATGTCTGAGATTTTTCACCAAACTATAAACTCTAAACTATATAAACTATATAAACTATATAATTGATGATATGATTTTTTACGTCATCTTCACTAAAATACAATCAGTGGTACTAAGAACTCCTCACATTATGGCTCACTAAATCAATATTAAGGCGACAAAGGACATTGTTGATGATACTGAGACTCGTCTCAACCATATTAGGAAAGATGATAAAAATATAATTAAAATGTAGTCATCAAGAATTTTGAAGAATCAGTCTTTCTCAAAGTGGGCGATATAAAAATTAACAAGTAGGCAATTTAGATGTTCATCAGTAGACTAGAGTATTTTTATTCACTTTTATTTCTACTTTTACTAATAATTATTTTATTTAGAGGGGCGCATGGCATCGTGCCTTAAGGCAAATTGCTGGAACTTCCCGTACCGTAATTAAAAATTTACCATATAAGGTTACACCTTGAAAGGGATTTGAAGTTAATCTTCAAAGGGGACATTTGAAGAAATGAGTTTGAGAATCGTTATTAATTCTAACGCGAATGCAATTATTCTATAATCTTAATTCTAGATTATAGAATAATTGGTAACTTGTTCTAAAAACTCATCAAATTAAACAATTTCTATCAACGAAATTCTTTTTTAAATTATATACCGAGAACAGATAATCATATATATATATATATATTTTCACAGTTCTAATCCTTTATAATAAATAATGAATAATAAAATTGAAAACAAAAACAAAAGGTAAACTGTTTGCTTTTACGTAGCGTTTACGTTTACTGTATATTTCAGTTGAATAAATTGCTGTTTACAATCCCGTAAAATACAGCTTTTTTTCATGTAACATCTAAAAAGCAAAATTTAAGATGGCAACTAAAATGCAAAAAAAAAATTAAAGACGTATCTATCACATTTACCAGAAAATATTTTAAGTTCGATTCACCATTAAAAGTAATATTTTAATATTTGATGATATCTTCAAAGTATTTCTTCATTTAATAAAATTTATAGTTCTATGTCTATTGTCGCATAGTGCACACAATCGTTTAAAAGTGCAGTAATTAATTTTTTATGAAGTGATAACGGCAAAGGCAGCAGTAAGGTGTAATCGACGCCTTAACGGATATTTTAGATATTTAATACCGAGATAAAATTTCTTATAGAAAAAATAATATTTATAAATTAAATCTTATAACTTATCTTATAATTCTTATCTCACCTTACCTTATAATCTTATATAAAGACGCATTTCTTATACGTTAACACCTACATCATAGGTTCCTATTCGTGTATTTCTATAGCCTTACGTATGCCTATATGTTGCATTCTATACTACACGCCTTACATCTATACCATGCGCTATATTTCATCACATACTCTCAAATCCCTACATTGTATACCGAATACACCTAAACTATATCTACTATATATCCTATTACCTATATATTTTTTTAAACACGCTACATTAACCCTACCGAGAATCGAACCCGGGTCCGCCGCGTGGAACGCTACGACCTTAGCCACTACACCACCGTAACGCTACAATCAACCGTCTTTTTTCGCGTGTCGTCGCGCCACCTTAGTATTAATTATCAATTAATTAGAAAAAGACCCGCGGAAACAACAGTGCGTCCCATATTATATTATTAATGGGGGTACCCGATAGGGTAGTGGTTAAGGTGCGCGACTTCCACGCGGAGGTCCCGGGTTCAATTCCCGGTATAGACAATAGATAATATATATAATAGGTAGAGATAATACATAGGGCGTAAGGTAAACCTATATAATATAGGTGAATATATAAATTAGACAGTAATATTTATAAGAAGTAAAAGGTATGTAGGTATATAATAAGTTAATGACGGTATAGGTATCTCACGGTATGATAAATAATAGATATCTATCTATGATATACAATAATATAGTATGATAGGTAATAGGTTATGTATCATATTATTAGGTTAAGTCTTATAAAGTATTGTAATAAATCTTGAGTACGTTTATATCATAATAAATACATGTAGGTATTAATGAATACAAATAATACCAGAATAAATATAAATAATGTCATTGAAGAATATAAATTATGTACTCAATGATTCCCTCATACTTGTACAATTTAATGTATAGACTAGCTGTATATAATAGCGTTAATTATATAATAAGTCAATATATTACATTTGTGAGGTCTTATCGAAATATATCAAATTTTTTGAACCGGATTTTAAATTTTAGCGTTCCGGCAAAAAAAATATTAGCACAACACCACTGATATATATATATATATATATATATATATATATATATATATTATTAAATTTAATTTTTAAGTATCCTGAAAACATGATGGTTGTTGAATAAAATTTAAATTCCTCTGAACTCTAAAATAACAAAAGTTTAGCAGTAGCCTGCATTTTGAATATAAAATATGTATTCAATTCTTGACCATTCATCGCCTTGTAAAGTATCGATTCACCATTCCATAAATTGATTTTACAAAATCTATTACCGAGTGGGCGTCCAAGTATCGGCTCGCGTCGTGCATCAAAGGCCATCGGATGCTTATGGCCACTTATCGTTTTCGTTTTTATACGTTTCGGTAAGTTTTACCGGAGCTTTTATTGACCAATAACTTTCTCAAGCGACGAAAGCACGAAACATCAGTAAACACTTTAAGCCACTCATAGGTTATGACCCTCTCCTCAATGATCGCTCTACGGTCCATATAAATATAGGTGCACAATATCACGATATCGTGACGACTGTTATTAAAGCTGGATCGGCAAGTAACGGCAGAGAATTGATGGTGTTCTAATATCAAAATACGTTTTTTTAGTTAAAGTCTACTTTAGTTAACGATTTATCCAACTGTGCATTTCGATTCGGTTTCAAATAAAATAGTGGTGCTTGTCATTGTGCCTTAAAGCATATTGCTGGGAGTTCCCGTACAGTAACTAAACATTCAAAATATCTAATGGTGCATGGCTTCGTACCTTAAGGCAAATTGCTGGTACTTCCCATCGGTTGATCCATGCGCCCGAAATCGTAGACAAAAAATCCAATGTATCCAAACACACACACACACATACATCAATTTTTTCTAAAGTATGCCAAAATGATCAGAAACCTTTGAAAGGTAAAGATAAGCAAAAAATTTCATTTTCGATTTTTTTGCGATTACTATAACTTACCCTACGAGAAGTTAAAAACAATCAATCCACAATAAAAATTCATCAATCGTACAAATATCGTTTCTTCGCACTGTCAACACAAGCAAAATGTTTTTTGAATTAGATGGTCCGTTCTCTTAATAACTGCTATTTCATACACATTTTGCTCTGTATCTCCGAAACTGCCTTTGCAAAAAACTAATCAGCACTACTACCAATCAATACAAACCGAATACTTCGTAAACCATTCTAATCGTATGCCCTGTTCTAGCAAAAACCGAGTTTCCAGTTTCTGCACTTTTTGCACAGTATCTCCGAAACGTCTTGACCTGTCTTTACCAAAACCTAACCAGACACATCTCCTAATCAATAGGAATCGAATCATTCAAATCAGTTGATCCGTGCTCCCGAAAACGTGGACGAAAAATTGTAACCACACATACACATCAATTTTTTCTAAGGTATGCCAAAATGTTCAGAAACCTCTGAAACGCAAAGATATGCAAAAATTTTCATTCTCGATTTTTAGACGATTACTATAACTTACCCTAAGGGAAGTTAATAAGAAATAAAGTAAGTTAACATTTTATTATTAGTTGCAACACTTTAACGACTTTGCATTAAATTAAACACATCTCATTTTTATTTACTATGACCGCATTATGCTGACCGAAAATAATCATATTTAAATATAAAATTATCCCTTTTTATGCATATTTTTACTACCTATGTTGCAATTACAAAGCTTTAAAAACAATTAACATAAACTCGCAATTTACAGAGTGTTTGTTTTAATTAGCGTTTAATTGAATTTCAATCCAGTACTTCGACCTTGACCAAAAAAACTCTTGAAAATAAGAAAACAAAATGGTTTTCCATGTATATTGCATGAGCAAATCTCCTTATTGATTCTCGAATATTATAAAAATATGTTTGTGCATAATATATACGGATGGTTATAAAAATGTGGTGAATCCGACACAAAAATCTCATAAATATTTCAACATTTCAAGATATCAAATACGACCGCATATCTTTCGTTTAATATGTGGGAAATGTCTTCAGAAAAAATGCGAAACATACGGAATACAAAGTACAAACACGTGGTGCATACAAATATTCGAAGTATCTGAAAATGATGTTTACTGAGAAATGGAAACAATTGTTCTCATGGAAAAGAACGATGTAAATATATCGACAACCTAGAGAACAAATTATTGCATTAATTTTTTTCATTAAAAATAATCTATTCAATCGATTTATACATGGAGAAGAAATATTTAAAAGCAATAAAATAGCATTCATTAGAATATAATTCTTAATATATGGAAGTCTGCAATATTTCGTATTATTTAACAATCAGGGATAAATTAGAATCAACCCTTTCCACTCGGATGCCATCGGCGGCAAAATACGTATTAATTCTGAAATTCGTGAGTGGAAAGGGTTAAAACAGAGTTTCACAATATTCTGTGATGCAGAACTTGCAACTTAACAACAGTTAATAAAATTTTGCATATATTGTGTAAAATATACATAAATACGCATTTAAAATTTAAAATACACATGATTATATATGTACTTGCAAATATATCTCAATTTTTCATAGGCG